AAAGCGTTCCGCCTGTCAGGTAGCATACTTCCGCTTATTCACATTCCTCGACCACCCATCCTCTACCACCAATACCCCCTACTCCAGTTGATACTTGCCCAGCCACGGCATCAATTTCGCCCAGATGAGCCAGTAGATGCCACCGATGAACGCAACCCCAATGGCCAAGACACAGTGGAAGTAGTAAGGGAGTCCTCCGTAGGCTTTCTCATTTGTCGGTGGGGGCACGAAGGGGCAAATGGCGAGATATATGTTGCTGATGAGGAAGAAGATTACTACCGGCAGCGACGCGGAGTAAGGTGGGTTCCAGTTGTATTTGGTGCGGTTGAAGTAGATGTGGATGAGGGCGAGGGCAACGAAGGCGTTGATTATGATGAGGGGATAGGAGACTACACTGCAGGATGAAAGGTGTTGGTATCCTTCAAAGAAAAGGATTCATAGGGGCAAAAGGCAGTGAAAATTTAGGCTACACACTGAAGGATCAAGTTAAATGCATTGCCCGGGGGGGGTACCAGCATGATAATGACAGATATCACCCAGTGTTCGAATAGAGCCGCCAGAGGCGCGTTGAAAGGTTTATTGCTCGCCAAGAATGCAGAGAACGGAACGATTCCCTCCCGGCCAAGTTCTTGGATCACTTTAGTGATATATTAGCCGACTGTAATAATGAACATTTTTCAAGCGATCTGATGACGACATACCGCGGCTTTGTGAGAACATGATACTCAGGACATTGCCAAACGCTGAAAGCGCGATGAAAACGGAGAGTGCTCTTTCAGCATGAGGGCCAAAGACATTCCGAAAAAATGATGCCGCTACCACACGGCCGGAGGAAACTATTTCTTCCTTTGGGACTGCGGCGAAATACGCAACCTATGCATCAACGATGATTAGCTGGGAGGTTGGATCATTTGAGATGGGTTTGTAAAAAGGGTACCGTGTACATTAGTCAATATGTACAAAGTAGAGAGGACGCCTAGCGCCAGAGGAGCGGCGATCTTCAATGTTCTTACGGGATTGTTCGTCTCGCTCAATGCAGCATTGGCACTCTTGTACCCGAAGAAGCTGTATACGATATTGTACAGAGCGGTGACCACCCCATACGCACTCGACGTGGTTCCTTCAAATGCGTTCTTAAAGTTGTTAGGCCTGTCGACTTTGAGTGCGCCCGCAAGTGCGGCCGAGCCGGAAACAACAATTAAGCAGATGATAAGGAATTTGATCAGACCCAGAATGTTCTGCAACCACAATCCCCACTTCAGCGCCAGGCCGTGGATTAGAAGCGCACATGTAATGCAAACAAGTCCGATAATTCGCTGGTTCCAGCGGGTTACCTCCACCTGCGCTGCATTCAAGACGTACTCCCCAAAGACCACCGAGTTTGCTGCCGAGCAGCCTGTTTAACCTGTCAGCATTTCCAAAAGTGATATAATTGTGTTCTCACCATGTCTAGAACCGGCAAATCTGACTCCCTCACCTAGCAAAACCACGTAGGTTGAATACAAGCACGATGTGAGGAACTGTGGCTTGCGGTATACATATTCCAAGTAGTTCTTCTCCCCGCCGTTTCGAGGAATGCCAGTTCCAAATTCCATGTATACCGCCATGCCCGCAGCAGTGATGACCGCTCCGACAACCCATAGGAACAAACTCAACCCTACACTGCCGGACAGCACTAAGATTTTACTGGGTGTAACAAAGATTCCGGTACCGATCATGCAATTGAAAATGAGAAACACGGCTGATGTGAGTCCTATCTGGCGCCGTAAAGGACTGGTTTGATAAGGATCTTGTGCTTTCGGCAAGTTAGTGACGTTGCACCCTATTCTCAACCAGCTCAGTAATATCAATCTGTTCACATACTCTCTTCCGGTGCTTCTTCGTTAACCTGATGGACAACACTGAAGCTGTTTTTGCTCATAGCTTGCCAAAATGTCGAATTTACCCAAATTTTTTCATCAGATGGCATCTTGCTTTTTTAATGCTGGAACCTTACTTGGAGAAGCGAACAATAGGTTAACCAACTGGTAGGAGATATATAGAAGTCTGTCCAGAAAGGCAGAACAAATGAAACTGTTTGAGAAACCAATATAGAACTCAAGCCAACCCATCACTAATTCTTAAATGGTACGTTGCATCAAAGCAAGTCGCAATGAATGCGAAAACACAATATCAGCCGGTTGAAGACTGCTCAATGGCAATAGGACTGCCCTGCTACACCTAATGGCAGTAGCTATCCGGGAGAGGAAAACGATCAGGACCTTCAATTAGAAGGGAACATGCCAAAGAACTCAGCTAATAATAAATTAGTCGAGAACATCAAAAGGGAAAAGGAGCATCAGAGACCAGACCAGACTTAGCTATATATAAGTTCTGGTATGGAGTTCGGGCCACTCGGATGGCCCAATGCCGAATTCAATTCCCCTTATTCACCTTGCCGTCATGTCAACTAAAAGCTGAAATGAAATGATAAACAAGTAAATATTTATCCACAAAAATGAAAAGCGCCTGCCTGCTTTGACCTGGATGTCGTGCTCTCAACATCTGGGCGTAGCACATCATTCGGCCATCTTTAAATACTAGTATATTGCTTGCCTCATAGACCTGAGACGCTCTGATAATTTTATAGAGAGCCTCGGATATACCCATGGAACATTGAGTGTTAAGCCATCGGAGTCGCTCCGTACCGGTGACGAAACCACATTTTATTCGTGCCCACAAGCTCAAGCCAAAAGGTAAACAAGAGAAATTTTCTTAACCCCATATCCAGCAGCCCGTATAAAAATAAACTGGAAAATGCAACGCTGGTTTTTTCTGCCAATATGACATTGTGGGATTAGTACCAGTCGTATATACGGAGGTCGGTTTCAAAAGTTTCGTTCGGCCAAGCTACTATCTACACCACTGATATACTAGTTGAAATATCATAGATACCACTAATAAGAAGCAATTATCTCAACCTGTGCTGTGATAATGACTCTGAAGTCTTTTGATGATAAAACTACTAAAGAAATCAGCAATTTCACTCAGCTATCTATTCAAATCAT